TTTAAAAGTGTTTTGGTCACAGTTGTTGTTGAGGCGATTATCCAGCCTATCTGTGTTCTTTCAGGGGCAGGCACTTCCCTCCCCAAGTATGGTCCATCCCAGTAACATTTTCTGATCCTGAATCAGCACCTGCCACCCCAGACGGCACCTGTCCTCTTGATCCTAACTGCTGGGTCTGACAGAAGTCCAGTCCTCCTCCCCATCACCTCTGTCGCTTCTTTTGCAGGGCGTAGCACACTTAACAAAACACCACCTTGAACATGCCATGTAATCCCTGCATCCCTGTGGGGTAGACAGTCCTGCCTCATATTTTATAAATGAGGAATCAAAAGCTCACAAGGCAGATGAGACAGAGGCGATGACACCCAGAATCATCCCAGTAGGCAGCTGAGCAGGGACTTGGGACTTTTCCTGCAGGCCTGTGGATTGAGCAGGTGCCACTCCTTTGCCAGTGTGCTGGGGCTTCCTCCCCCACACCGCCTTGCCCATCCATTCACCCCTAGGTTTGTCTTATTTGTACCTGTTAGCTCTTTCTGTGTGGCACGCACCCTGCATCCGTGAGCACAGCAGAGGTCAGGAGCGTGCATTAGATGCCGGCACATACACGGACGTGGCTCACGTTCCAAATTCTGTTTTCTCAGCTGGGGTAGAGAGGCCTGTGTACTTGTTCCTGCCCACTCTGAAATGCCTTTTCTCTCCACCCTACCCAATGTTGCCTCCCTCTAGCACCCCGGCTTCAGTTGTCGTGGAGCCCCTTCTCTCTGTGGTGCTCTCCAGTGTGTGCTCTGCCCTGGGGTCCAAGGCTCCTTGCATTCTGTGAGCAGAAGCTCTAGCCTGCCTGTAGGCACCATCCCCAGGGCCAGCACTGGTTTCCTGAGGGGGCAGTCATGAGGCCATGCGTGCTGGACTGACGGGCAGGGATCAGGCACTAAGCTGGCCTTCCTGCCGTTGCACCTGACGTTTCTGTCCTCCGCTCCCAACATCCTTGGGGAATGCCAACTGGGCTCCCACACTGCCTGAGCGCCAGGCTCTCATATTCTAACCTGGCTTGAAATCAAAGCCCTGGTCCTCACCAGAAGCCTTTGGCCTGCTGAGGGCATGATATGCGTGTTTCTCTAAATTCCTGCTGGTAGATTGTGTTTCTTTATTCTAAAAAAAAAAAAAAGAAAGAGAGAGAAATGAATGTTGCCTCTGAGGGGCATCTTCGTGGGGTTTCCAGTGCAACTGCCAAGCGCAGAGTTAGCAGAGACAGTGTTGGGAAGATGACTGGCTGCAGCAGGCTCTCACTCAGAATTTTCTATCTGCACACACTTTCCTAGGAGACCGAAGCCACCACTCCACATGTTCTTTCTTAGAGTATTAATTTTTCTTTCCGGATTTGGAAACATTTTGAGTGCTGTGAGCATATCCCACTGTCTCCATGTTTTGCTATCTGTAAAGGACCTACATGGTGGAGTTTGGGGACAGGCCTGTCTCCTGCCTGGACCTCTAGGCGCGTCTGGTTCTTCAGCCCCTGCTGCACAGGCCCCAGGGACTCAAAATCTGCTTTCTTCTCCTGTAGCTGCTCTCACCCACTTTATCCTTCAGGTTCATTCTTTTGCTAAAAAGATCTAATTTCCCTAACTGTGTGTCCCTTCCCCACTTTCTATATATAGAATCCACAGGCCCTCTTTCATTGTAGAAATATTATTGCTAACCACTATGGGACTACTGCAAACTCACAAAATAACAGCTAGAGGCCAGTAGGCGATTTGCAGAATTGTTAGTCACTCATGGTCTCCAGCCTGCTTCTTGTCCCCAGTTTAAGACCATGAGCAGGGCTCGGCACCTGTGGCTCAAGTGGCTAAGGCGCCAGCCACGTACACCTAAGGTGGCGGGTGCAAATCCCCAGCCTGGACCCGCCAAACAACGACGGCTACAACCAAAAAATAGCCGGGCGTTGTGGCGGGTGCCTGTGGTCCCAGCTACTTGGGAGGCAGAGGCAGGAGACTCACTTGAGCCCAGGAGTTGGAGGTTGCTGTGAGCTGTGATGCCACGGCACTCTACCCAGAGGGACAGCTTAAGGCTCTGTCTCAAAAAATAAAAAGACCATGAGCAGAAGCCCTCCATGGGCTCTGCCTGCTGGTGAGCCCTGCACCATCTCTGTCATGGGCACCAGTTTTAGGGGTTGTTTCATGTGGGCAGTCTCACCTTGTCCCCTCAGCCTCAGGGCATAAAATCCTATGCTCTTTGCCCCTCTCTGAGCAGTGTCTTCCTGTCCTTCCCAGTTCCTGTCGTGGACTATCAGTGCTCAGGTCTGGTCCTCCAGGCCTCCCACATGTTCCCACGGCACCTTCTGACCTGGCTTTCTGCATATTGAATTTGGGCTCCAAGAGGACCCTTCCTCCCCTCTTCAGGTGCTGACTCAGCCACCTAGCTCCCAGAACTCTGTGATCTCCACCTGATATTTTACAGCTTTAGGAAGGAAATTCAATTAGCCCATCAGGAGTGGATAGGGCTGTAGGGTATGACCTGAGAATCTGCCCAGCTTAAAAGGCTTATTGGCCGGAAGGGCTGGAAACTACCTTCCCTTCCCCACAGATGCAAAGGCACTGTTTTGAAAAGAGTCGGGCTGGGAGCTAGTTCTGGGAGGCAACCCGGGATGGGGCTGTAGCCAAGATATAAGTTCAAGCAAGATTCCCGACAGCCGTTAGCGTTGGGCCTTGGCACGGGGACAGTAGTTTCTCACAAGCTGACTCCTTCTCACATGCCCAAGGAATCTTTGTAATAATCTGAGGAGACCCTGCAATAAAGCCCTTTCTTTTCCTCGGTGTTTTTTTGGTGGCGCCAGTCTCAAAAGTTGTTATGTATCATTTTGCCATTCAGATGGGCAAAGCCTGATTAAGTTAGTTTGTAAAACAGCAGCTGCACTAAAGGTGCAGAAGCAGAGGTCTGAACGCGAACCCCAGTAATGGTGTGAGCACGCTCCCCTCCCTCATCACCCTGGGACAGGTAAGGCTAGGTTGGCCTCTGCTCCTCTCTCGTGTGCCCCTCAGCACTGTGGCCTCCCCCAGCAGAACACCAGCCCTCTGCGGCTTTTGCCCCAGCCACAGTGAAGGCATGAGGTCGGCTGGTTGCTCCTTACACCCCAACAGCCTTAGCTGGGTGTTTATGGAGTTGTATCCACAAGGTTGTCCCAGGCCTGTGTCTTCTAGAATTCAGTGGCAGCGGTCCCTACCAAATAGCCTTCATAAGAGCCAGGTGCAGTCTGTTCTGGACCAGAGGGGTGGCTCCCTGCTGTGAACGAAAGAGACAGAGGCCAGGTGAAGGGATCGAGAGGGAGGACTGTGTGTGCTCCTGGGTGGCTGCTGACTCCAGACATCTTTTCTTCCCCCTTGTAGTAAAAGCTGCACCATTGGGATGGTCCTCCGACTGTGGAGTGACACAAAAATCCACCTGGATGGAGACGGGTAAGGAATCTCTTTAAAAGATTCATGTTTGACTTTGAAACATGAGTTCATTGGACCATCCTTGGGTAATCATTACCCACAGAATTGCATGTGATAGGTTCATTACATTAGGAGAAACAATATTGCCCTCCCTGAGCCGTGCAAGGAAGGGCCCATTTTGCATTCTGTAAGGGATGTTAGGTCATGAAGCAGAAGGGGAAGCACCTTGCAGGGGATCTGCTGCTGTTCACTCACCCATTTGCCTGGATTGGTTAAGCCACTACTCCACTGCCCACTCTCTCTGGGGCTGGCGCCTGGAAGTGCATAGATGCATGTGATACCACAGGAGCTTATCAACTTTGGGGGTCCAGGGAGAGATACACCACAAGCAGGCACAACAATGTTCAGGCGCAGTGGCTCAATCCTATAATCCCAGCACTTTGGGAGGCTGAGGCAGGTGGATTACCTGAGCTCAGGAGTTTGAGACTCCGTCTCTAAAAATAGCTGGGTATTGTGGCGGG